AGTCAAAAATAATCGTAGTATTAACATACCTTGCAAAATAATTATTAATCAAACCATCTCTAATATTAAATTCAGAGGAAACAGAGTTTAGGAAGTACGAACTACGAAGTTACAAACCAAAATTTGACGATTACCAATGGTTCAAGCACTGGTTAACGTAAGCGTAACTTTTTAACGAACGTAAGCTGTCATGGATGGTGAATCAACACTTTTTTTGTCTAACGTTCGTTAGCGCCATATTTAACGGTTACGTGTCCGTCAAAATTTGTTGATGCAACCCACCCTAAGCCATTGGGTCGATAATCTTTAAAGTACTCTTCTTTTTTGCTATAATGTTGTTATTATAGGTCTACTGAACAAACAACGGATAAAGAGGATTTTCTATAATTATTATCACATGTATCAAACCCGTAGAGACTGAATTAAATTGAGTAGGTATCTAATCTACATCAATAAGTATAAACGAACTGAAAAGCCGGATATCAATTTTGAACTTGTTATCTTCTGTTTATAAAATTTAATAGGTTATTAACGTAACCTGACCGCCAGGGTCACTGATTAGGAAGTAGATTTTTCAATCAGTTATGATTTCAATCAGTGGCCAAATATTTAATTGTAATTGCAACACCGGAAATGACCACTCCTCGCCCCTGGGGTTGCCCCTGTACGTCCATCTGCCCATGCTTTTGATTCATCGGTACACGCTGTTTTTGTTACGGCTTTAATAACCTTTATGTGGGTTTCCTATAATTAGGACTTTCTATCATTTTCTGTCTGTTTCTTTTAAAATCGGTAACAAAACAAAATTGAGCAATATACTCTTCTAAAATTTTGCTCTTCAGTCTAATTAGATGAATTACTCTAATGTATATTTAGTTATTTCTTAACTATTTACACTATATAAATATGATCATTGTTGTTATAGTGTTAGTGTATAATAGTCTAATAGGCTTGATATATTAATTTGTATATTTACTTAGTATCCTAGTAATAAAAGCATTAAGTACCTTCATTTATTTTCCTAAAAAAAAAATAGACTTTGTTTTTACGACTTTGTTCCCCAGGGCTAGCGATATGCAGTGGAATGAGTATGAGCAGGTGAATTAATAACAGACTAAACAGCTAACATGCTGTACGACCCTCCGGGCTCCAGAAAATAAACCACTCCTTATATGGAAATTGTATGCGTTTTTACAACAAACTCCCAAGCTAAATAAGAGAATTATCACTAAATAAAAATCAAAGCCCTCGTTAACGTTGCCGGCCTTTCAAGAATTATTGGTACGCTCTTTTCTTGAAGGACCCTAAGTCGAATTGGTTCGGAAATACTTCAGTGGGCAGCTGGTTCCACAATGTGGTGGTGCGCGTCATAAACTGCCTTGAAAAACCCTCAGTTGTGGAACGGCGGACGTCGAGGTGATACGGGTGGAATTTCGTACTCTGCCTCGACGTCCGATGACGGAACTCGGCTGCAGCTATTAATCTGAACAACTCCTCTGAACACTCTCCATGGTAAATGCGGTAGAAGATGCAGAGTGACCCCACATCTCTACGCAACGCCAAAGGATCAAGCCGCTCGGAGAGGGATTGGTCGTCGACGATTCGAATCGCTCTGCGTTGAATACGGTCAAGTGGAAGGAGCTGGTACTGGGGAGCCCCCGCCCAGAGGTGAGAGCAGTACTCCATGTGGGGCCGAATTTGCGCTTTATATAGTTGCATGCGGTGACCCGGAGTGAAGTACCGTCTCGCTTTGCTGAGCACATCAAGCTTTTTGGAGGCTAATTTAGCCTTTCCCTCCAAGTGACAGCGAAACTGAACGTCGTTCGATATGTCAACGCCAAGTATTCCAATGCTGGCTGTGGCTTTAAGAAGAGTGTTTTCGAAAAGAGGAGTAGCGACAAAGGGTGTTTTTTTAGCGGAAAATGCGCAAACTTGTGTCTTCTTGGGGTTAAATTGGACTAGGTTTAGTCTGCCCCAGTCTGAGACTCCACGTAGTAGAGTTTCGACTTCAGACACAAGTTTGTTCCGGTATTCATCGACAACTGCCCGAAAAATACCTGCCCGGCCAGTGTAAAGAGTATCCCCAGTGCTGTCATCCGCATAGCAATGAATGCTGCTAAGTTGCAACATATCATTGATATGCAGAAGAAACAGGGTCGGGGATAGAACACAGCCTTGTGGGACCCCCGCGTTCACGGGTTGAAGGTCGGAACATGCTCCGTCAATGACGACCTTAATGCTCCGATCGGCCAGAAAGCTGGAGATCCAATCGCAGAATTTCTCGGGTAGCCCATAGGCTGGGAGCTTCGAGAGCAGTGCTCTGTGCCACACCCGATCGAAGGCTTAGCGGTTAGTTTGGACATAGCGTCCAAACTAACCGCTAGCGCCTCCCCTTGGACTCAATTGCCTCTGCCCATCTATGTGTAAAGTATACAAGAAGGTCACCAGCCGAACGACCACGACGAAAGCCGTATTGATAATCGCTAATCAGCTATTAACAATCGATTCCATTATTTTGGAGAACAAGGAGGTTATGGCTATTGGGCGATAGTAGGACGGATCAGAGCGATCGCCTTTTTTAGGGATCGGATGTATCGAAGCGGTTTTCCAGCACTTCGGGACAGTGCCAAGCGAGTACAGGTACCGCAAAAGGCGCGTTAAGACCGGAACCAACTCATGAGCACAAGTACGCAGCACAATTGGGGGGATACCATCCGGCCCGCTCGACTTATGAATGTCCAAGGAAGATAGTGCTTTGCGGACAGCACGTTGCCGGAATGTAATTTCCGGCATCGAAGAATCACACCGCGAAATGGTCGGTGGTGATCTTCCTCGGTCATCCAAAGTCGAGTTGGACGCGAAGAGACAGCCCAAAAGGTCGGCCTTCTCCTTCGCAGTGTGGGCCAGCGAGTCATCCTCCCTGTGCAGTGGTGGAATGGCGGGCTGACAAAAATTCCCTTGGACAGCTTTGGCAAGAGACCAGAAGGCTCAAGTCCCTGAAGGGAGTTGGGCCAATCTCTTGCCAAATCTGGCAATGTGCTCTGACTTTGCCTTAGTGATTTCCCGTTTGAAGGACCTGGAGGCTGAGTTATATGCTTTTTTAAGTTCGCTGGTATTGGCATCACGAGATTTCGCCGCTTCCACCCATGCCTTAAAGCATTCTCGCTTTCGGCACGTTCTTCTCGCCCTGTCTACGCCCTTGTCTTGCAAACCGGTAGTAAATGTAAATTTAGAATCAATTTAAGACCTTTTCTTTGAACGTTCATAAGTGTAATTGCTTACCTACTTATATGAATAAAGTTGCTGAAAAGCACTCGAAACGTGAAGAAACGGAATAATGAAAAGGATAATTTTATATAATAATATATAATGTTTATTTGTGTTATCCAAAAAGTGTTCACCTGTGACGAATGGAATGCTGTGGTCTGTGAGCAAGTGATGCTACAGAAGGAGACAGAAGACGCGGAGTAAATAGAACACGATATTATCATCTCCTACCTCCTATGTAGTGAATAATGCACCTGAGATTTTGCGTAACAGTTATGTCGTTGAGGCATCGGTGGTGTGCGAGAGTGACCCCGGCAAAAATGCCAAATCTTTGCCCGCCACCTGGGCCTTCGAGTGAATAAAACGCCCAAAGTTGAGATCGGCCGATAAAGTAACACCGAGCGTCTCGAGACGGTTAGCTATTTCCAAAGAAGCACCCCGGCTGGTTCGACAGAATCCAAAAGCACTCTTTTTGCAACTCATTAGACAGGCCTAGGTTTTATTTGTGGTAAACTGGACTAGGTTCGCATCGCCCCAATCAGAAACTATCAATCTAAACGAATATTATGGTGGTAAAGGTTTTTATTTTTTGTTCCGTTATAATGAAGAAAGTCGAATTACATATAATTAATACTACTACTTATAAGAATCCTATATTATCTCTGAGTAACTATTAGGACCGTTGAGACTTCTTATTTCCATATTATTTAAAAGAAACGCTTAGCTGTGCGAAACAGGCCATATGATTTACAATGGCAAGCTTTTAACAAATATTTAAAGTTAAAAATGGTTTTTCTATGCGGTCATCCTTAACAGGAATCGTTTGACACCTAAATCGGGACAATTATGGGTTTTATATATTCTAGAGATACAACGGGATGTAAAAAGGCCTGAATAATAAACATATTATTAAGAAATCATTTATTTGTCGTTAAAGCATTGAATGTATCAAAGCCTATTGCTATATATATACTTAATACAAATGGAATAATCTCTGACTTAGATTTGATCACCTGAAGCTTAACATTGAGTACGAGTATATAACAACACGACAAAATAAGACAGCACTCACATATTGTTTGTTGATGGGAATATAGATTATAAACACAATATTATATTATATTCAAAATATGTATATTATATATATATATGATTATAAACGACATTTATTTGTTAATACCTGTAAACTTTCCAACTCATTTAATATATCTATTTAATTCGCCCAACATTACGTCTATTACTTATGAAATTATGACAAACGTGATTTCTTTACTCATAGCATAAATACATAAACCCTTAGGATAATATTTGGTAACAATTTTTGTGTTCACTAATCGATTTAAATGCATCGATAGCGAACTACAATAAAATAAAGATTACATCATAACTTTTTAAATAATTTAAAAAGAGTATATAGTCATAATAATTTAGCGATTACAAGCGATAAGTTTTTTTTATACAAAGTAATTTTTACTATACGAAGACAATGGAGATAAACACGAGTACAACTTTCAATTAAATTTAAATATTAATTTTGTGTGGGAACAGTTTAATCTCATTAAACAGCTTATGAAAACTAATATAATTAGGTTTTAGGTTATTTCATTGATCTCGTTAAAAATGTAGTCCGTCAGGCTTTAAATTATAGTAGTTAATCTCAGTACACTATGTGGGAACTATGTTCGTAATAAAATATCGGTAAAGAATAATACGTTTTACACAACCATGGTAGCCTACAATTTCTCTTCTGGTGTTTGCAAAGGCACACTGGCTTCCTCCATTTTTTTCGTTAAGTCTAAAGCTTTATGTCGCTTTGTTCTTTTCTTCTGAAAGAAGAGTCGGAGGTAGTGGCAGGAGAAAATGACGCATTCGCCCGCCGGTTCCTCTGCGTCTATATAAACTCCTCGTACAAGAATTGAATTTGAACAATTTAAGAGAATCAGCAACGCCAGACTTACGATGTGGCAAGACCAGTTGCTTAAGAGAGGCGAATCTGAAATAATTAAACTCGTTAAAATGAAATCCAGAAGATATCCTTATACAATAACTTTACCTAGTAACTGTGGTGTTTTACTGTGGGTTAGTCATAGAGAGTTATTATTAATAATATAAGAAAATTCCAGAATTAAAGTACTATTTTAAATTACAATGTTACTGTCATTAACTTATATTTTAACGCATTACATCGCGTTAAAATCTAGTTTGTTACATACGAACCTGGCAAAAAATAAATATCCAGAAATCCCCAAATTGCTCGCCATACATTCACCGTGGAAGCGAAGGAAAGAAAGAAGTAAACATCAGCGATCAACAGCCTTGGGGCTCCCTGAAGTCTTGCGACAACCCACTGCATAGGCGCCTGCAGCGAAAACGTCAGAAATACCATAGAGTAACCTACTATCTGTAAACAAAAAATAACATTGATTGAAATAATTTGTTTATAACGGAAAATAGCACATGCTTCTCGCATAGTCATACAATTTATATTACTAGCAAAATCTAAACCTCACTAAAAATTGTTTGCATGGTATTGATCTCAATGAAATGTTTTTTTCAAAGGTTTTATTAACTTTCAACGTTTTAACAAAGTTTACCGAATAAAACTGCATTTTCTGCAGGAAGATCTACAATATCATACGTTTGTAACACCTTAGCGTAGCAACACAATGTAAAGAGACATCTTCGTGCGAGAAAACGAAATAGTAAAATAACAGATTTCTAGAATAATATAATAACAGAATTGTCTTAAAACTTTATTATTATATTTGTTTATACATTTATTTGTTGTGCGATAGAAACACCCTGAACGGAGATATCCCATGAAAGGGATGTGCCCTAGATCGTTACTACCATTCCTTTGTAAATTTTTCACTAATTATGTTTAAGCTTGAACTGTACGTTCATGCTAGCGTAAGCGGAAATTGTCAAAAAAAAAATGTATTTTAGATGAAAAGTGTGACATGACCTTTATTATATATAGACATTTTGAATTTATTTTTGAAGTTATACTTCTTTAGGCGCGTTATGAAAAATTTATGAGAGTGAAATTTTACGATGCGCGCGCACCGTGACACAAAATTATCAGTATGGGCGCCGAGCATGCGCGAGCGAGATGGGAATAAGACAATCTACAAGTAAAAAGAAATAGAATATGCGTGACGTTAGTAGCTATGCCAAGAATTTTGAATGACCATAATGACATTTGTAGTACCTTTTAAACAAATAAAGGAGTTTTAATTATTTTTTCAAAGAAATTTAGCAATGCTTTTCCACAAAGACCTATTGTTACTCAGTTAAAAGGTTATGAAACATACCTAGTTATTAAATTGAATTATAAAATAAAATAATAAATAATAATTATTATTAATATTAATTAATAATTGAATAATATACTAAATATTAAATATTGTCTAATTATTAACGCTAAATATTTATTATTAATTATTTAATATTTAAAAAAAATAAAGAAAGCCAAAGAAGTATAACTTCTTACGCGCGTACATAAGTTACACGCACCATTTTTATTTAGTAAAAAAAAATAATAATTGTACTTTTATCAGATATAATGATGAAGCCTTTTTAATTTTATTTTAAAACGAGTATAGAAAGAGCGATAGAAAGTATAGATTATATAAAATATATTAGGGAGGGGATTATGTTAGGGAGGGGGATTTACAAAGATTTTTCGTTTGTTGATTGTTTTTGTGTCGTTGACAAAGGTCGTGGGGTCACACACGACTAATAATAACATACTTATTAAAAGGCCCGGAGCCAAAATAAGAGATTATCCAAATGTGCACACGGAAATGAGAAAATGAGGTAATATCCGGTCATAGCAGGTTTCCAGTACAAATATATTTCTACCCACGTCGAATTCAATGTCACTGCTGAGGACTTACGTACGTAGTATGTCATTGCCATACCATGTAATCTAAAGTTCCGTTCGAGTCCCGACTAAAACCGCATTGTATTTATGTTGAAATTTGATTATTTATTTGAGTAACACTATAAACAGTCAATATTAAAAATAACCTCAAATTTGCACTTATTTTTAACTCTTTGAAGAAATATCAAATAAAACACTCTAACACAATAATTGAGAGCAGACTTAGCGTCTCCCGTGCATCGAAAACGATCGAGTTCGCGGTAAATCTCGACTCCAAATCTGTATAAGGTCTAGGGGACAAAATAGACATTTCATTTGTATATTATGCTTTATGACATATATTCGGCATCGCGCCTGTTATGAAGGCAACATGTTTCTGTCTTCTCGATGGTATTGGTGTGACGTTTAAGGTGAATAAATAATTAGTTCTAGAATACGCAATATGTAACGCATGACGAAAATTGATATTTTGTTTGTTATAATTAGACCATTTAAATCCTAAATTGGTCAAAGCCGTACGTAATAGAGCGAGGGCAAGGAGAGGAAACGCCAATTGCGATCTAAGTGGTCACTGACTTGTGGCGAGAATCTGACCCATATGCGGAAAAATAGTTAAAACAGGTGACCTTAGTTATATTGAAAATAAGATTAGTTATTCTGTAGACTGCGATCCTCATCCCTGAGCCTATAAGAAAAAACAAACGATCTGATACAGAAATCTGAGGCCCAGACCTTCAAGGGTTGTGTAGCACCACTGGTTTTAGACATATTTTCAGCTGGTTAATACGGTTACTGGTAGCAAAAAGAAATAAGCTTCAAACGATTCGTAATCGTGTCCCGCGAGCAATTTTATCAAATGACACCATAATATTTCACGACGATAGACTTTGTTACGCTGAGCAAAGCACCTTTTAATCGACTTTAAAGACTCCTTCCTCGGAGACCAAAAGACAAAGACATATCGAGAGATCCTTTTTTAGGTATATTCCAACTGAGTGATTCAATAACTTATATTAAATATAAGGCCTATCCTATCTAGATACATAATTTTGTTACTTAAAAAAATGAAGCGACATTAAAAATTTAAATTATTGAAGTACACCTTCTAGTTTATCACTAGTAGTGGCTAGGGTTGGTCGTTACTAGAGTATTGCGAAATATTTCCGCGTCTTTATGCCTAATTGTATCGTATTGAAGTCAAATTGAGTATTGTGTAGCGAATTGACTCGAAGTGTGAAGCATGAGATTTTTATTGGCATTCAGCTGTAGATATATTATTTTCTATGGAAATGACAGGTTATACAATTTATATAACTACGTTTCCTGCGGGTAAATCTCAACAAATAAATACCTATTTGTAAAATTTCAAACTACATGACGGCAAAAATGAGATCTTTCAGGTGAAACTTATTTAAAAATAATTAAAAATATATCATTGGCACAGATGGGTGATTTAAAAATTATAAAATCTACTTCAGATATAAAATAAAATCAATGCACCAATAATCTACATATATTAATTTAAAAAAACACTGTTGGACTTTTGAAACAGCTATAAATTACGAATATTGTTGCTTCAGTTTTTAATCTAACCTTATACTTACAAGTGACATCCAGCAAGATTTGACAGGATCATCTGGATAGAGGTAAATGTCAATCACTCCCCACAGACCTCCCCACACGACCACCACGAGTGACCCGATCACAGTCACAGAAAACAAACAGTCCAGTATGTATAGAGCCGTTTTCTGATTACTCTGTAACAAAAACATCTATTCAATGAATTCTTTTTAAATTTAATTTTTATTCAAAGAAGGTTTTACCTTAACCTTACGACTTTACAAGAGAAGTCCTGAATGGTTTTGAAAGAAAAGCGTCAAACCTCTCGGTTGACTTAGTGGTAGTACTCTTGTACTATGAAACGATGAATGTGCCCCTACAATGTGAACATTATATTTTAATGTACACAATATTTTTATGAAAGACGAAAAAGGCGGTCATGTTAATTTCACGCGATACACAATTTTAATTTATATTATTCCACTGCTATTGATGATGGATTGTTAATAGTAGACTAATCTAACAAGTAAGTCAATTATTCTACTACGATTCTACGGAAATTAAATAAGCAATGGAAATAACAAATATTTAAGTATGCGAGAATAGGTACATTTTTATATCAGTATTTTTTAAATCATCTTAAATCTTAAAACAAATTTAGTTGGTTCATAAGTGCTCGCTTAAATGTCATTGCTTGTGGCGGCGTCCATGCGTCGGGTTGTCTCTCTCCCTAAAATATGGCGAGGGGGCCGATGGCTGGCCATGCGTCATACTCGTGAACGGGTGCTACTTGTGGTGACTGGTCGTACTTGAATTCGTGTATGCGGCGATGTTAATTATTTCGACTATGTGTTTGCGTGTTGTTCCCACGAGAATGTAAGTGCGTGCTCCTATTTCACCATGCCTCCTGCTGATACGGGACAAGTCTTTGTTTTTATTTATGTTATTATTATTAATTACTTAAAATGTCATGTGGAACATGGTGTAATGGTTGCAGCTCCTTACAAACGTTGTAAAAAAAAAAAAAAAACATGGCGATTAAAAAGAGTGGCGGAGAGTTTATTGCCAGTTCTTCTCTTCCGTTCTACGCCCTTGATTTGAGAACTGGCAGTAAATGTAAAATTAGAAGCATTAATATTTATTTCTTTAATGACGAATCACAAGTGTACATTGTGTTACCTACGTGAATAAATGATTTTTGAATTTGAATTTGAATTTAATATTCGATTCTATTACCAAAACATGAATTAAAACAATATTTGATACTTGCGAGATTTGTTCTAAATAGTTCTATTTTATTTTATTTTATTTTACAATTTTTGGGAAACTTATAGCTAAAAAAGGTTCAATAATATACAATTAATATGATGAAGGCCAATTATCAGTTTCCACACTTAGGCATTATCACATCCTTACACACCAATGCTCAAAAAACTCTCAAGGCAACTATATTAAAATCTAAATAACTCAAAGTATCGATCACAAAGGGCTTTCTTCGTTCTAGCAACACACATTCACATTAAATTAACAATTTACGTCAACGATAATTGTTATCACAATCAAAAGTACATGAAGTAAAAGTGCAATAACTTGTCGCACCTTTTATTTCATAACCCTGTTATTCATCCATTGCATTTATTTATGTATTATTTACAGATAGTTAAATTACGTAATAACAACTTAAGAGGAGGACTCCTCCATTAGTATCCTAATGTCTGGTGCAAAGTTCGGATATGAAACAGTTCGTCACCTGGCTATGGGAAGCATTTTAGAGAATGTTGTGATTGTATTTCTATTAAATGTGCTATTTCCATTATTTAGTACCCTTTCGTGTGGCTTTGAATTGTATCCTGTAAAGTAGTTATTAATTTTCAAGTTTCAAAAAGTTCCGTGGTTTAATTCTAAAACGGATTTTTTTTGATAAAATAATATTGAATTTTAACTAAACAAATTAATTACTTTAAATTATTATTATTTTATATCAATTTTTATATCTATAAAAAAAGGATTGCAAATGAGCTACGCGTCACCGTTGGCGCTACGAATATGCTACGGAGCGCGCTATTTCTTTTGCCATTATTTAATTACACGATACAACCAGTATTACAGTTGACATTCTACAAATAATGTGGTTTCATACCATTCTGCAAATGTTGGTGCATCAAAGTAACCCGCGTCTGCATCTATTGACACACTGTAAGTAGCCGAATCCAAATTTCTAAACACTTTTAGACATATTAGGGATATAGAAAATGCATCCTCTTCGTAAATGTTCATAATATTAAGCCGGAGAAATGCTCTAGATCGAGCGCGAAGGTAATATAAAGCAGTTGCTTAAATATAGAAGCAATAAAAATTTCTCTGCAGGGATAACTTTTGCGTCACAGTAGCACACACGATGAAAGACGTGCCGTGATGTTTGCTTTAGAGCTAAATATGGTCCTATAGTCACAAATAAGATTAGCAAAAAAAAAAACTTATTTGGAAATGTAAATTCAAAACCACAGATAGTTAACTTTTTTACTATTTCCTTGTAAGGCGATTTATTTAATAACCGTTTCGGTACAAAATCTACAGACAAAAGTCCACTTTATAAATAAAATTATACCGGATTTTAAACATAACAAGTTGTCTCAATCAACCACGTCCGTTCACTTTTACCACAATATTACAATGATCAATTCGTTGTCAAGTCAAGACGAAAATAACTTAGTTATCAATAATGACGTTTCATATAGGTATACCTAACTACTGTATTATTTGGAAAAGGAAAGTCACCGTCTGCTCGCTTAGTTCGTTAGGTTTATGGCACGAACCCGGGTTCCATTCCTAAGGAAACAAAAATTTGCAATGATAGAAACGCGCTTGTCTATAAATCAATTTAATCAATGAATCAGACGCATGGATGAGCCTTCCGCAGGCCCATTAAAGAGTTTCATGACCTCAGTCTGTACTTAAAAACAATTAGCGATTCTGAAGGTTTACTCAACGTAATTTCAGGTCCTCGGTTTGACGCTGGGGAGTGAAAAAACATGGGTTGACAAATTTATAGACGCTGAAATACGTTTTTTACTGAACAAGAAAGTTTTAGTTTCTTTCGTTAATTATTCACATACATTTAGAAATTGCCATGATTTGGGATTTGAGACATCGCAGAAGGTATTATATCGCTCGCGTGTGTGCAGAGAGACACGTGCACTCTCTCTCTTCCTATCTATATAACAACCTTCCAAACTTATTTACCTTTATACAAACAGTAATAGTTAAAGTAAATAAGCCCTCTTCCATATATAGGTTACAGGCTGACTATCAACTAAAATAATAACAACTTCAAAATAATATAGCGATTTTATATACGTACATTTAAATTAAAAATGTGTCATTTGTCTCCGTGGAAGCGGGTTTCCTATTAATCTGTTAGTCCAATGTACATAAAATATTTACATAAAAAAGAGACGGTAGACCTCATTGCCTTCTGGTATTTTGTTTAAATGTACCTAATTTTATATTTCAGGTCAATGCGAGCTCTACCGGTTGCGATCACTATTCTATACACAAAAAGATCCAAAGGTCTCTAACATATCAAGAAACATCTGCTCCAAATAAGTCCCTACTAACGAACTTGAGAGTGCGCAATGGGCATACGATGTAAAATCAGGTCTGGTCTATTGATCATTTTTATTTATATAGAACGAATACGGCACATTTGATTGTAATTGCTTAAAGGGGAAGACGGTGTCGCGTGTTTGTGTTTGGACTAGAACAGCTATTGACCAATCACAAACGAAACGCGCCAACGTATCACTTCACATAAGTTCGCGCCCCGAGGATTTCTAATAAACCAAAAACCATGAAAGTGATATTAATACTGTAATTAATCTTTATATAGCAAAACCACGATTGCCGTGTTTAGTGATTCTTATAAATTTTATAATTTGCGATATTTCTTTTCGATTTATTAGCTGTACAGTAGGTATTACGATGAAACCTATCTATCCACTGTGTGTATTCAATGTTGGTATGATTAATAGTATATATAATACCTGAATATAAAGTCTCTAAGGACCTATTATATTTTTTTTATATGAAACGTTTTATAACGATAACTTTTATACCAACCGTTCTAAACAAAGTAGGAACATTGAAAAAATCCTTAGGCGCGTCAATAAGAACAGCAAACGGGGCAGCCGATATATTCCTTAGACTCCGTAACGCCGCTAGAGATAACGTCGCTGCTGCCGTGACGTAAATGACAATCGTTGCACTACCTTCCGTGCATGCATCGAGGAGGTTCCGTACTCCTCGCCACACGCCAACACACGCCAATGCAGCCACATAAGTGTATAGCCTCGAGAGCACATAATACGTAAATCTACCCTTATCAGGGCGTATATGCTTGCTCAATTGCGTCTGGAATACGCACAAAAAGAAGTTCACGCTCAAACCAAACACGAGGGCTGCTATCCCGCTGTTCACTGGTTGTTTAGGCAGGACGTAGAAGTCCATCAGCGACCAGGTCCCTCGCCAGTAAGTCACAACCGCGGGGGCTACTACAGCACTTCCGAACACCTCATCTGCGAATTTTAGAAGCAGGCTACGGGCCCGCGCGTGTCGGTCTGTCGCGAGCGTGTCGGCTAACCCGGCCGTACTCCCACGCATCTTTGGTTACGAGTGCACACAACGGGTCCCGAACGACTACGAATCATTTATATACGGTACGGTATGGGCCCTCGTGTGACGTAATGTTGAAATCTTTCCCACCCACAACTTCTTCTTCTTTTCAGTGATAACGGGTGATAAGCTTCATTTTTCCGAGAGTTTGATGATAAACTTGAGATTGTTGGTTCTAAGCGGCTTTTATAACATAGCCTATAATGCCGTCTGCGCTTGCTTGTAGATTTAACAGGTGTTTGATGATATGAAGATAGATGTTTTGAGGTCAAGGTTGTATAAAACTGGAAGAGAAATGGTTTTCGTTCGTATAGTTATTTTTTTCTAATGAATATATACCAACACAATTGTACATAAGGTCAACAAATGGCCACACAATCATTTGATAAGATATATTATGTGACCAAAGAACTTGCAAACGTGCAGTAATATTATTATTATACGTATATCATTTTATATACCTAGTTCTAAAATTTTAATTGAAACCCGAATATGTATTTAGATTTTGTACCAATTACACGATTAAAGAAACTTTTACTAAAAAGGCTATTACAACATTGAAATTTTTTATCATTTTGTCAAAAGATAATATTTTTATGATCACTTAATAACAGTTCAAGTCGTTAACATAACGTAATTTAGCTCTGAATAAGTAGTAATAAGTAATAAAAGAAATAGATAGATCTTTTTCAGGGAAAACACTAAAATTATCTAATCATGATAGACTGTATAATATAAATAAATCAAATTACCTTCTGAAATGTTGTAGTAAATATGTAAGTTGGGTGTTTTCCATCGTGACTACGCGGTCAGGAGGCGTTCAGAGGTAGCATGCGGAGCGAACAACTAAGATTAACACGACGCCTATCAAATACGTCGCTATCAACACTGCCTTGGCATTCTGATAATCCGTGGTTAAATTGATCCGTCTGAGAACTCGCAACTGACTTACACTAACGGCGCTCCATTCGTCACTCTCCTCATTTTTGGAATCTCTGCATTAGGCATTTCGGCATTCTGTTAAGCAATTTAATTTTTCGTCTTGGTAAGGGGAGGGAGTTTTTTTTAGCTGATTTACCAAGTGAGTAGTTATCTATGAATATCGTGCCAATAAACGCATTTTATTTATAAAAATGTGTATAAAAAGTTTTCATCTTGTAAACAAAATATTTAGTATATTATTGGATAAATATTAGATTGATTATTATTATTGAAAGGAAAGTACATCAAAGTTTTTATGAATATTGTTCCAATTAAGAGTTTATATTTTTTATTTTTACCGAAACCTGACAAGACGTAGTGTTTGTGAAATTTTTCAGCATGACAACAATGGATACCCAACATTGTCCACTTGACTTCAATTATCCCCACGGGAGTCAGTCCGAAGGAAGTTTAAAGAATTACATATTTTAACTTTGGAAAGTCAATACATTTATGAGAATATTTTGTATGTGCGGAAAAATATAGATACCTTTAAAAAGAAAAGTAGCTTTTATAAATATAGTACTCGTAATAAAGACATAAAACGAGTAATTCTTTCCAAAGAAATTGTATACGTTTTTTCAACAAAATCCCTAGTGAGATACAAGTGTTGTCAATAAATAAATTCAGATCGTACTTTAAAGTATAGCTACTTGCTAAGGCCTATTATAATACAAATTAATATTTAAACGATCCTTGTGCTTGGATATGAATTGTTCCAGTATAAATAGGTAACGCGACTGAATCTCCCGGCTGCATTTCTAGCCTCTGGGGCGATCGTCAACATCCACGACTGTTTTAATGTAAAGTGGGAACAAACCGTGATCCATGTGGTATCAAATTATTTCAGAATAATTAGTATTGTTATTATTTTCTTATGTAGCCAAGTTCACATTTCAAGGATCGTCATGCTCGCTTAAATGTCATTGCTTGTGGCGGCATCAATGCGTCGGGTTGTCTCTCTCCCAACAATATGGCGAGGGTTCGATGGCTGGCCATGCGTCATACTCGTGAAAGGGTGCTACTTGTGGTGACTGGTCGGACTTCGTGTATGCGTTCGTGGTGATGTTAGTTATTTCGACTAGGTATTTGCGTGTTGTTCCCACGAGAATGTAAGTGCATGCTCCTATTTCAGCATGCCTCCTGCTGATAGAGGACAAATCTTTGTTTTCTATTTAATCTATTATTATTAATTACTTAAGATGTCATATGGAACATGGTGTAATGGTTGCAGGTCCTTACAAACATTGTTTAAAACAAAAAACTTGGCGATTAAAAAGATTGGCGAAGAGTTTATAGCCAGTTCTTCTCTTCCGTTCTACGCCCTTGATTTGAGAACTGGCAGTAAATGTAAAATACCTATATGAATAAATGATTTTGAATTTTGACAGAAATATTAGCCGTTGGTCACAAAAAATCTTTATGCGTATATAAACGGCATTTACTCAAAAACTACTGGATGGATATAAATACAAATTTCTCCGATAGATAGTGTGATTTATAAGAAACGTTTAAATAAGTAATTTTTTATGGTTTAACATTAATGGACAGAAATATGAGCGTTTGAATAAGTCACAAAAAACCCTTATGCGTATATAAAAGTTATTTATTCAAAAACTACTGGAATATAATATATAAATACAAATCGACGGTCCCTACGTACAAAGCGACATGTCAAAAATAGATGTTTTCAGGAGAGATTTTTTTTATATTTATCCATGTTTTCATGAAAAACTCGATAGATGACTGTTTCTACATTATACATTTTATATAAGCCAGATGGTCAAGTCTAAGTTAACCGTTTATACGTAGGAGATATCAAATCAATAATATCAATTGTTTTTTTTTAATTTATTTTAAAACGTCTACTTATGTTATTACAATGAAAGGTACGACTTGAATATTCTAAGATTAAAGAAAAAATTTACTTCTTTAGACGTATCTGTTTATACGTGGTTATGTTTTATTAGAGTACGACTGCTTTAGGGGAATGTAAATAACGACATGTAGTGAATTAAAATAATAATCAGCATGATTTTTATTAATAAAAAAAAAATTTTAACTGAATAGAATACGGTTAGTTTTCAATTATCATCTTATCTACTTTTTTAAGCAGACACAATTAAATAGAAAATAACGGTGCACTTAATGCTTTAAAATCAACTATTTTAAAAATAGATTAACAATCAACTATTATAATATTTATATATCTGAAGATATAACTACTCTAATTATCATTACCGCTTCATTCAGACTGATTAGTATTATTATTTAATTTATAAACTATTTATTATAATTTTTTCAACACATAAATCAAAAATAAAATAAATTATTTTTTTAGTTATCTAATTAATCATCCTTGTCATCACCCTTGACTTCCTACTTCCTTAGTAAGGTTAAGATTTTTATAAAATTCATGATACTTTTGTGGAATTATCATTGTCACACAAAGTAATTAAGTCCTTGTACTTTGCTTCAGTTATCGCAATTGGCTGTTTGTATAACTTCAAACTCAAACTCATTTTGAGTTTGAGTTTGAGTTCATCTTTATTCATTGTCTAAATTAATTATTTGTTTAAGTAATAGATGGCGTTAGGCGTGTGTTAAAACGCGATGGCGTAACAACGTCTTGGTATTATATAGGATTTAAGGTTTATTTAATATATTGAAGTTTTCGAAGTTTTTATAGTATAAATCAAGTGTCCCTCTCTTTAAGTAATAAATAAACAGTGAAATTTCTGTTGTGTGTGTGTCATTCCGTGATAGGTTTTTGTTCATGGTGCCGAAACCCGGGATGGACTTTGGACTCGTGAGTTAATGCAAAAGACTTAGAATATTTATTCATTAGTGACAACTGGACTTGTAAAATTTTATAGTAATTAGTATGGACTTAGAATAATTTCAACCAATCTTGGACTTAAAATAATTTCAACAAATCTTGAACTAATTAAAAAAAGTGTTGTAAATTAAATAATTAATACATTAGTGATTTTAAATAATACACTACGTAATTTTAAATTGAAATAATGGCTTTTAACATAATAAAAAATCAAGAGGATTTACATTCAAGGCTACAAAAGGCGCATTCAAATTATAAGAAAAGTCCAAGAGTGAGAATAACAAAAGCATATGTCCAAACACGTATAAATACTTTAGATGAGTTGCTGAAGGAATTTATGGATAATCATAAGCATTTAATACAAATAGTGGTTCCAGAGCAAATAAAATCGTTTCCGTATTTTGAAGAAGACATTTGTGATTCGTTCCAAGAAATATATACTGAATATATGACAGATTTAAAAGAAAAGTTAGAACAGTTTGAGAGTTCAATATGTAGGGAAAATCAAGCAAAGGCTCATTCTGTAGATGTTATAAAATTACCACGGATACAACTACCCTCATTTTCTGGAAAATATAGTGAATGGCAGACATTTTATGATTTGTTCTGTTCTGTTATTCATAATAATGAAAAGTTGTCGCCTGCGCAGAAATTGCATTATTTAAAAAGTAGTATAGTAGGAGAACCCTTAAACTTAATAGGAAATTATTCGACTACAGATCTCAACTATGAAGAAGCGTGGAATCAATTAGTAAAAAGATATAACAACAAAAGATATAATAGTAATGCAATCCTAAAGACTTTATTTTCACAGAAAACAATTAGTGAATCATCATCAGCAATTAAACAATTATTAGATACAACAACTTCTTGTTTAAAGGCTTTGGATAATATGGGCATATCTACGGCTTCTTGGGATTCTATTGTAATTTATTTGACAGTCTCGAAAATAGATTTAGAAACACATAAACAGTGGGAAAATCACATAAATAATTTGGTCAGATGATATGCCAACATGGTCGCAATTTGTTGAGTTTCTTGAGGGAAGATTTAGGAGTCTAGAGATGGTTGAGACTGGTAAACAATTACCTAAAACTAGTTTTCAAATGAAAAAACAAGTTCCTAAAACTTTTCACGCGGCAGTTCAAGAGAATAATAAAAAAACTGA